TGCAAACGAAACGGTTAGCCAACTGCCATTCGTCGAAGATTGGGTATTGCGGCACTACGGCACTACGGCAATGCGGTATAAGGCAGCCTGTGTAGAGTCGGCGCACTATACATACATGTAACCGTTTAGCTGCCACACTCAACGTTTGGTACTTGCAACATCTCAGCGGCTAAGTTGGTTGTGCTGTTTGTGTAATTTTTCTAAATATTGAGATCAAAATCGTTGCAGACGCCTTTTGGTTATAATATTTGTACCTTGCGCAATGTTCTACGGAAACTGCATAGCGCTAACAACTTGTGGACCTTACTGCTTCTTCCAGCCGAAGTTGCGAAAGTGGTGGAAATATAAATGGTAGTAGAATTGGCAGTTCTTAAAAAAATAATTCTAAATTTTCCATGCCATTTAACCATTCAACGCATCGTTGACCTATTGAACCATTACGAACGTGTGCGGCATTATCAGTTGCTGGTAACTTAACCGCGAATAAAGAACGAGTTTTTATTATACCTCTTCTCTCTTCCATCCTGTCCTTATAGCTTACAGCATTTACTCACTCACTATTCTTTCTTGAATGAATCATAGGAATTAATGCGTTTCTCTTCTTCAGCACACAAGTGTCGGTTAGCGCTTGTAGACCAATGTTTACATCTTATAGGTTGTAAAGAGCTCGAATGATAAATACTGCAAAAGATTAAATTAAATTAAAGAATTTTTTATCGTGAATGGCTTACTTGATAAACTGCAACCTTACCTTGTTGTGGGAATAGCTAAGAGCAAAGCAAGGGTTAGATATGCTTTGTAAGGAATATATAACAGCTTTACAATGTTTTTGTGCGAACCTACTAAATGTGATCACATAACTCTCTTGGAAGCCTTAAAGAAAAAATTCCGAGTTAAATATAAATAAATTATGGCTGTAATGGTGAGGAAATTTCCAACTACATAAATTTGATTTTTAATCAAGAGAATTTTTGCAATGACCATATACTATCCCATATCTTGGAATACTATCCCATATCCACAAATAGTGATCTTTGGATATATCTACTGATTTGATTAAATATAATTTTTTGACTTCAATTATTATATATATATAATTAGATTAATATTGTTGTTATTGAAGATATTATATGTTTCTACCTCGAGTTTAATAAATTTCAATTTTTTTTTTTATTTCAGGTAAGTGGAACAATGAATTATTAATGTAAGTAAAAAATATTTAAATAGTCAATGCTCTAAAATTTATTTTGGTGTTAAATGACTGATTTTTATTGTGAAATAAAATATCTAAATATTTATAAAATGATAATATATTTTTATATATTCATTAAATTCTATTGTTAAAGAGAAGTACAATTTAATACAATTTAAAGTGATTACTATAACTTCAGTTTAAGTTAAAAACTGCTCAAATATCGCGTTGTACTCTACATTTAACACATTTTGAGCTAGAGTTTGACTTGAAAAAAGCACCGTTTAATTTGTCAAAATTTTTAAATCCGTTCATTTGTTGCGCATTGATTCCGGAGACATTCCGGAGACCTGTTGGTCTTCTTATTAATCTTGGTGTTTCTTTTATTTCCATTATTCATAAAAGCATGAAAATAAGTTTATTGTCAGCTAATCACTTTGAACAATACAAATAAAGCGTACAAAACTGAAAACAGAGTAAGGCTGCCAAATTTTCCTTAAAGTACTAGTACTAAGTGGATTGATAAATATACAGCCTTAGTAATAAAAACGCATTTTTTTTTGGAAGATTATATTGTATGTTTCAATGTAGTCCGCTTTTAGCTCGACACACCAAGTCCAACAATCTCTCAACATTTGGATACCTTTTGAATAATACTCCAAAATTAATCAAGTCCTTTAAAATATACCTCAGTTTCTCATTCCTCATTTGAAGCAAATCTCTTTCCCTAGAGCCATCTTTTCAAATTTGGAAACACGTAATTTTCATTGAGCGGGTGCGTTATCTTGCAGAGACAAAATTTTATTCTTCGACAAATGTGGTCGTGTTTTCTTGATTACCACATTCAATCGTTCCAATAATATGCAATCGTAGTCTGCATTATTGTTCTTCCTTTTTCGTTTTTCCATATACTCTATGATAATTATTTAACATGAATCCAAAACTTACGGAAGCCAAAACTTTTCCAACCGATTTTTGAGTTCGTGGAACACAAATCCCGATTTTTTCTGTTTTTTTCAGTTGTGACCTCTTTTGGACGACTCGGACACTCTTCACAAAAAAACACTGGTATTACCAAGTTTAAATTCAGCTTTCCAATTTTTTATGGATGTTAACGAAGGTGCAAGTAAATAGTTGTCGTAAACAGAATCTATTTCTAATTTGATTGCATCATTGTTCATTCCTTTCAAATGCAGAAATATTATTTCTAATATTCAATCGAATATTCAATTTTTTCCATATAATAAAAAATCACCAATTTAATAGGTTATTTGAAAAAAAGCTAACCAAATATCTGATAAAGTCTAAACTTGTACTACTGTTGTTTAAAACTTGTCAAATATACAAAATTTTATTGATTTTATCCTGGCGGTCCCACCTGTTGTGAAGCCATGAAATTATCAATCCACTTAGTAGTTACTTGCAAATTTACATACTTACTTGCTTACATACTTACTAACATATTTACATATATACTTACTTTCATATATTTTATTCAACGAAAAAAGCACTAATGAAATTACAAACTTCTAAACTACATTAGCTTATAAGCTGTCAGTCCCCATTACGGTTCAAGTACAAGATCTTCCTGTACAATCAACTGTACGATTGGACTTACGGCCTACAGTTTTTTGAAAATGCTAGCGCTATATAGGAATATTACTAAAAACTGATTTTAAAATATTTGTTAGAGCGGTTAAAGTCAAATTGTTAATATTGTAGGATTCTGTAGAATTATTATAATTGATGTGTTATATGATTTATATATTATATTTTATTATATTTTAATTTATTTTAAATCATATATTGTATAATTAAATTATTATAATTAATATATTATATAATTCATATATAATATTTTATATGGTTAATATATATGGTTAATTAATTTATCTAACTAACCCTGTATAAGATGTAATCAAACCAACGGTTCTAAGTCTTGTTTTTATTGCCTTTTGTTTTTGCGCTCGAGATGAGCAATTTTTTTGTTATATTTTTTGGGCTGCAAGTAAACTCCGTTGGTTTGATGCTGTCTCTTGTTTTTCGATCGCGAACGTGTCAACACACGGGTACACATAAAAAAGTGATTAAACAATCAATAACCGGAATTGTATAAATTCAATTGTATAAATTAAATGAAACCAAAACCCAATTCTAAAAACGTTTATAATTTACATTGTGTTAAAGAAATTGAAATAAAGATCATAAAACCCAATTATAAAAACGCTTATAATTTACATTGGCGACCGTGACAGGACTTTTTGCAATTTTAATAGTGGTTATTAATCTCCAATTTGTTAAAAAATCTAAATATTACCCACGTGTGGTAATCATTTTTTCTTATTAAGTTTGTAATCATTAGTGTACGCGTGTGTGCATTTCTTCCACACGGCTATTCTGTGGACTGTCGAACGTATATACTATTGTGCAATTGGTGGTTCTCGGTTTAGGTCCGCTAACCTCAAACCAGAACCTCGTGTCCGCATCAAGATCGCGCTCGACATTACAACAACAAGATACCTTTACTTGTTGATTGTACATACTTTCGCTTTTATTGTTTTTGGTTAATTTGTAACCATTAAAGTGCGCGTGTGAATATTTCTTCTAACCAGTTATATAGCTAACGCGTGCTAACTATTATAATATATCGTACATCTATATATATACTACATATGAATTATCGTACGTATATACTATTGTCCAATTGGTGGTTCTCGGTTTAGGTCCGCTAACCTCAAAACAGAACCTCGTGTCCGCATCAAGATCGCGCTCGACATTACAACAACAAGATACCTTTACTTGTTGATTGTACATACTTTCGCTTTTATTGTTTTTGGTTAATTTGTAACCATTAAAGTGCGCGTGTGAATATTTCTTCTAACCAGTTATATAGCTAACGCGTGCTAACCATTATAATATATCGTACATCTATATATATATTACCTATGTACTATCGTACGTATATACTCTTGTGCAATTGGTGGTTCTCGGTTTAGGTCCGCTAACCTCAAATCAGAACCTCGTGTCCGCATCAAGGTCGTGCTCGACATTTAAAATAACAACAACAAGCTATCTTTACTTGTTGATTGTACATACTTTCGCTTTTATTGTTTTTGGATAATTGTAACCATTAATGTGCGCGTGTGAATACTTTTTCTAACCAGCTATATAGCTAACGTGTGCTAACCATTATAATATATCGTACATCTATATATATATTACATATGTACTATCGTACGTATATACTCTTGTGCAATTGGTGGTTCTCGGTTTAGGTCCGCTAACCTCAAAATAGAATCTCGTGTCCGCATCAAGGTCGTGCTCGACAGTTAAAATAACAACAACAAGCTATCTTTACTTGTTGATTGTACATACTTTCGCTTTTATTGTATTTGGTTAATTTGTAACCATAATGTGCTCGTGTGAGTATTGCTCCTAAACGGTTATATATCTAAGGTGTGCTAACTTTAATAATATCGTACATCTGTACATATATACTATATACTATCGTACGTGTGTACTATTGTGCATTCTATGGTTCTCGGCTTAGGTTCTGCTAAGCGCCAAATAGAACCTCGTGTCCGCATCAAGGTCACGCTGAACAATTACAACAACAACAACAAGTTAACTTACTTGTTGATTACTGGTTAATATTTGCTTCCAATCAGTAAGTGTGCGGGTTCGTCAACGTCGCGTCTGACAACAACCACCGTAAGAGCAGTTCAATTTCGGAAAGCTCACTGTTGCTATTGTGACTTTTCGACTTCGTCAAATCCCTTGCTGTTCTCAAGTATCTACAACTGGTTCAATGGCAACGGCAGAGCCAACCACTACGGCAGAACTGTCAGAACTAAAACAACAGCGAGCCTCGACGAAAGCGAGTATTTCAAGAATCAAGGCGTTCGTCAAAGGAAAGAGTAATTCGCTCTCACAACCAGAACTGAAATGTCGACTAGGTATTTTAGAATCATATTTTAAACAAATCTTAGCTTTTCAGACGTTGATCGAGAAATTAGATGCAACTGACTCAGCTAGAGATGAATTAGAAGACCTATACGTTTCCACCAAAGTATTAATCATGTCTCAACTGCAGGAAGAGGCCCACAATGCATCAGTGCTAGACGTAACAGCAATGATGCCCACCTCAAGTAAAAAATTACCACTGTTAAAATTACCTACATTCAGTGGTAAGTACTCGGATTATAACAATTTTATTAATTCGTTTCTCCAAATCATACATAGATCGCGAAATATACCTCACAAATATTGAAAAATTTAATCACTTGCTGAACTGCCTTACTGGTCAAGCTCTAGAGACAGTACAGGCATTTCCTATTTCGAATGAAAACTATCCAAAGGCTCTGGATAGGCTTAAATCGCGCTATGACAATAATAGCCTAATCTTCGCCGAAAATATCGCGACACTATTTGATCTACCAGCAGTATCGGGTCAGTCAAGCCAACAACTCCGTAGTCTGGTAAACAATGCATCCGCTTTGTATGGTTCACTCTGTTCGCTAGGTACAGAGAAACAAATATGTGAGGCTCTACTTATCTCGTTAATCATGCAAAAAACGGACGCAATTACACGTAGGAAATGGAATGAATCGCGTAACTTTGACACATTACCCAGTTGGGAAGATTGCTCAAAATTGTTGGATAGACATTGCCAGTTTCTCGAATCACTTGACAGTGGAAACGGCAATCAGTCATCATCACAACGTAAACCTAATAGTCTTAACTCCAAGACTAACAGACGCTCAAAACAATACGCATTTGTTGCATCTACATCTAGCAATTCTTGCTCATTTTGTTCTAGCAATGAACACCTAATACAGAATTGTCATCGTTTTAAGGCACTGGAGGTGGTTCAAAGGTTTGAAAAGGTGAAGAGCCTAAAACTCTGCATAAACTGCTTATCGCCACGCCATCATGTGGTTAATTGTACATCAACGTTTAAATGTAAGGTTTGCGCAAAGCCACATCACACTCTCTTGCATCATTCGCAATTGCCAACGAATATTAAGAGCGCGGGATCATCACGACGCACAGAACACGCTGCTATGCCCAACGACAACGTTGCCAGCCATTCCCATCTTAATATGTCATCGGCCGAGCAAATAATTCTAGCCACTGCATTGGTTTTAGTGAAGGATTCTCGGGAATTATCAGTGGTAGGCTACTTGTTCATGCTTTCAGGTCACTTCTAACGGAGGTTTTTCAAGAGCTTATTTAGCAATAACGGTTGCTGTCCTTGGTAGTTCGTTGACCAACATTAAGTATCAGACGCTCACATCAATCAAATCTCGTCATTCAAATTTTGAACTTGCTTTAAACTTTGGTATTACGAATCACATCGCATATCAACCAAGTTCTGAAATCGATATATCGTCGTGGAAGGTTCCACCAAATACACCTCTCGCCGATGAGCAATTCTTTAAATCCAAGCGCGTTGATCTTTTGCTTGGAGCTGAAAGTTTCTTTGATATTTTGTCTGTCGGTCAAATCAAACTAGGTGAAAATCTTCCAGTACTTCAAAAAACACTATTAGGATGGATTGTATCTGGCAAGTACAAGGGTCAGCCATTTGCATCACCAGCAGCAAAATGCCTATTATCAGTTGAAGATACAGTCTCCGATCAATTAGAAATGATGTGGAAGATAGAGGAAGTGCAATCGGCTTCAAAGTCATGGTCACCAGCACATGTTGCGTGTGAGTCATTATATCGTGAAACGGTTCACCAAAATGCGATGGGAAGAATTGTCGTTCGGTTACCATTCAAAGATTCACCAGATTGTCTTGGTTTGACACACAATATCGCCTTGCGCCGTTTTTATTCTGTAGAACGGCGATTGTCATCTAATCGTGCACTGAAGCAAGACTATCAAGAATTCATGAAACAATATCGAGAGCTCGGACACATGACGCGTGTTGAGACTCCGAAAACCAACGAACCTCATTATTATATCCCTCATCATTGTGTTTTAAAACCGTCGAGCACTTCGACCAAGCTGAGGGTGGTTTTTGATGCGTCATGTCCAACAACTTCGCAACGTTCATTAAATGATATTCTACTGGTCGGCCCGACAATTCAGTCGGAGTTATATTTGTTGCTACTTCAATTTCGTTTGCACCGATATGCCTTGACGGCTGACATTGTTAAGATGTACCGACAGATACTGATAGATGAACCAGATCGAAAATTCCAATATATTTTTTGGCGAGATACGGAGTCCGATCCTGTTAGTACTTACGAGTTGAATACAGTCACTTATGGTACTGCATCAGCCTTTCCTAGCAACAGGAGTTTGTTATTTGGCGGCATTTTAAACAATCATAGGCGCTTGCACTCATTATCATTTCTTTGTCGGACGACTTCTTAGGTTGAGAGATTCCATTGGTCAACTCACCAATATCAGACATCAGTTAACGGCCATTCTACAGAAGGGTTGCTTCGATCTTGACAAATGGCATTCAAACCATCATGACTTCATCAGCGATACTACAACAAAGAGTTTGAATCTTGATACAGATACAGTCACCAGCGCTCTAGGCATCAAGTGGCACCAAATGCAAGATGTTTTCCTATTTTCGTTTAATGCACAACCAGGTCATATTGTAACAAAACGCACCATCTTATCCCTTGCGTCTTCATTATTCGACCCGCTTGGATTACTAGCACCGATCATACTCGTAGCCAAAATTATGATGCAAGAATTGTGGCTTTTGCGTGTGGATTGGGACGAGTCAGTCCCTCAAAATCTTCACTCAGCTTGGAAAACATTTATTCAAGATCTTACAACGCTTTCATCGGTTAAGGTGCCGAGGTACTGCCTATCCATAAACTATCAACAGGTTGATGTACACGGTTTCTGTGACGCTTCAATACGCGCATATGGTTGCTGTATATTTCTCCGATCACAAAACACATCAGGTAAGGTAACGGTCAGGCTATTCACTGCAAAATCCCGTGTGGCACCTATAAAGCGGAAGTCGCTACCTAAACTAGAACTCTGTGGTGCCTTACTTCTTGCCAAACTGTATCAGAAGGTCCAACCAATATTTGCGCAATTTAAGGGTGAAACGTTTTTTTGGACTGATTCACAGATTGTATTACATTGGTTGAAGCAGCACTCATCAACCCTGTCTGCATTCGTTGGCAATCGAGTAGCGGAAATTCAAGATATTACCGCAAATGGGCAATGGAGACACGTTCCTACCCAATCCAACCCGGCAGATGTTGTGTCGCGCGGCTGTAACATCCGCCAATTATCAGAGTCTTGTTGGTTTACGGGGCCGGAATTTTTGTTACTCGCTGATAAATACTGGCCGCATTTGAAATGTCACAACCTGGATATGGAAGAAGTCAATAAAGAGACGCGAAAGGTTGTATTCGTTAACACAAATGAAGACAACTACGTATTACAGGTATTGTCAAGATATAGTTCATACACTAAGATGCTACGAGTAATAGCGCAGGTACAGCGTTTTTATCATGTAACCAAGAATAAATTGAAGAACGGAGAATGTACCCTCCAACCTATTCAGCTACAAAAGGCATTGCACTGTATTATTTGGGTCATCCAACAGCAATTCTTCGAAATTGATATACAACGCCTACAACGAGGGAACCCAGCCAAAGGTACATTAAAGCATCTAAATCCCTTCCTGGACAATGTATTCGGTTATCAATTACTAAAGGTGGGAGGTCGCCTCGAGCTGAGTGACATCTCAGTAGGCCAACGTCACCCTATTTTGTTGCCGAAGGGCTGTTATTTTGTGGAACTTTATGTTCGGCATATACACTTGTGCAACTATCATGCAGGCGCAAAAGCACTAATTGCCCTTACTCGACTAAACTTCTGGATAATTAATATTCGAGAAATTGCACGCCGAGTCGTGCACTCGTGTATTCACTGCGTGCGTTATAAACCCAAACTACTTAATCAAATGATGGGTAATCTCCCAATCGAACGCCTCACTCCAAGTCGTCCTTTCGCGCGTACTGCGGTAGATTTTTGCGGTCCGATATTAACGTATCTCCGAATTCGGGGACGGGTTCCATATAAGACCTATATAGCCGTGTTCGTTTGTTTGTCTACAAAGGCAGCTCATCTAGAAGCCGTGTCAGACTTATCTACGGAGGCATTTATTGCAGCACTGAAAAGGTTAATCGGTAGACGAGGGTTACCATCAGACATCTATTGCGACAACGCCACGAACTTCGTTGGGGCTAACAACAAACTAGCAGAGTTAAAAAGAATGTTTTTCGAGAAGTCTAATCAAGTGATGCTGCAGACCTTTTGCAGCAACCAATTCATAAATTTCAATTTTATACCGCCCCGAGCACCTCACTTTGGAGGTCTATGGGAAGCGGCTGTAAAAAGCGCGAAAGGCCATCTGTATCGAACACTATCAAATACTCGATTCACCTTTGAGGAGCTTGGAACAGCACTGATTGAAATCGAAGCTATCTTAAATTCGCGACCAATCACACCTCATTCTTGTGACCCGAGCGATTATGAAGCGCTAACGCCAGCACATTTTCTTATCGGTGGGCCGCTCAAAACTTTATCTGAACCAAGTCCTCAGTATGAATCTGCTTCATTAATTGATAAATGGTCTCGTATAACCGCAGTCAAACATCACTTCTGGCGCAGATGGTCTAGAGACTATCTGAATGAGCTGCAGATACGCACCAAATGGACAGAAGAACAATCTAACATCACCGAGGGGGCTCTGGTTTTAATCCATGAAGACAATATGCCTCCACAACGCTGGTTGATGGGCCGAATCGTGCATTGCATCAGGGGTCCAGATAATTTGGTTCGTGTTGTTGATGTGCAAACCCCAAAAGGAGTAATACGCCGTCCAATCCACAAACTCGCACTATTACCAATTGAAAATCCTTTCAAGGGGGGCGGGATGTTAGAGCGGTTAAAGTCAAATTGTTAATATTGTAGGAATCTGTAGAATTATTAATTGATGTGTTATATGATTTATATATTATAATTTATTATATTTTAATCTATTGTAAATCATATTGTATAATTAAATTATTATAATTAATATATTATATAATTCATATATATATATAATATTTTATATGGTTAATATATGGTTAATTAATTTATCTAACTAACCCTGTATAAGATGTAATCAAACCAACGGTTCTAAGTCTTGTTTTATTGCCTTTTGTTTTTTGCGCTCGAGATGAGCAAATTTTATTGTTATATTTTTTGGCTGCAAGTAAACTCCGTTGGTTTGATTCTGTCTCTTTTTTTTCGATCGCGAACGTGTCAACACACGGGTACACATAAAAAAGTGATTAAACAATCAATAACCGAAATTGTATAAATTCAATTGTATAAATTAAATGAAATCAAAACCCAATTATAAAAACGTTTATAATTTACATTGTGTTAAAGAAATTGAAATAAAGATCATAAAACCCAATTATAAAAACGCTTATAATTTACACCTAGTGTCACATAAACAATTGTTAAAATTCTTCTATATTATAAGAATAATAAATGATATGCAGTTATTTGTTCGGAAATAGATATATAAGTCCCATGGATTATAGAGATTAACAATCGAATATATTCAGAAAAGCTATACTGTTATATGACTATACTTATATAGCTATACTAAGGGATTAAATATTTCATTTAATGTGCTTTACACTTGCTTTTTTATTATATAGTTTAGATCTAAGGATCTAATTGAGTTACAAGACCTGTTGTAAAACCTTCAAAATAAGTTCAAGTCCCACGATATTGCTCATACGATGTCATAATTGATAATAGGTGTATTTGAACTTCAAGCAGCGCATTAGGCCTATCGCAAAGGATGCTTGGTTGGCAGAAATATTCTCTCAAAAAAGAAATTTTCATCAAGAAAATTTTTTTAATTTTGGAAAAGTTTTTAAAAAAATAATTTAATAACCACCACGTACATATATATCAGTTAAATTAAATTTAACATTTATTTTCTTATATTTAATTCGTATTTTTATTATATTTTTTGCAAAAATCAATATACTTTGTGAACAGCTTTTTTGAAGAAGCTCATGTGTTTGAGATATATGTATATATAAATAAATAAATATATATGTATATATATATATATAATAATATATATAATAATATATATATATATATATATATATAGATATATATATATATGCGTTCAATGAAAAATCATAATACATACCAACACATATTTAATTCTTGATTTTTTTGATTTTAAAAAATCTATTTTCTTAATACGAATAAAAACGATTTTACCAGAGAGGTATTGGAACAGTAATAAATTACAACAGAACCTTTCGTTTTTAAATAATGAAATTTTTGGACCATACAACTGCTTCGAATATTGTCAAATACCCACCATCCGGAAATATTTTATTTAAAATATTCATAAATATTTTTTTGGAAACCGGGCAAAATTTAAAAAAATTTAGTTTTAAAAAAATTTTTTATTTAAACCAATATTTTGGCTATATTCTATAGTCATCTTCAGGGTACTAAGATAAGATACAAATATTTCATGTAATTAATTATTCGTAAATAATTGTTTTGGACTGTGAGTACTAAGGGCTAAACATGAAGTTCAGATATATTATCAATTAGCCAACTATATTGTTAGTGTTAATCACAGACCAGTTATAGAAAATATGAATTAATTAAGTTATTTTTAATTATAAGTTTTAGTACAATTAATTTTGTGGAGACATTTTAATGGCATATTTCTATATTGTTATTTCTTTTGTATTGATCCTTTTTTGGGAACTTAGTACATAGCGAAGTTTTAATATTAATTCAGATAAGTTAATTAAATTTACTAAGGTATTATCTTTAGCGGTTTTTCAAAAAAATTAATCAATAATAAAAACAAGTAATAATTAATCAACAACACAAAAAATGGTGGTTTAATTTAGTGGCATAGACATCTTAGTTCAAATATATATGTTAACATAGTACAACTGAGTTCTTACTTCAAATTATTGACCCAAATGCCATGGTCCCTTGACTTCAAATAAAAATAAACTCCTTTAGTGTTATAAATCCGGACTTCAAATTATTTAGTTAAGTGCTTTGTGTCGCTCTCTAAATTTGTGAATAAACCAATTTGCCACATAGTTCTGACTCTGTATTGGCTATATAAACTTGATGATATTACTAGAATAGGGTAAGTAATTAATTCTATTACTTTGAAAATAAAACATGAGTTATTTGTATCACATTGTGGGTTTATGGATAAGTTAAATTAAGTTGAAGTGGCGGTCAAAAGTCTACTACAGCTAAAGCTCTAATTCTGCAGAATGACAGCAAGGTCAAGTTGGTGAGAAAAAGGGCCCCAAAAATTCAAGATCTTCTCCTACGCAAAAATGGACACTGACACATGAGTTGGAGCACAGTTTTATTCTCATCCGCAGAACCGCAACTACAACACAAATCATTATATGGTGGACCTAGCTACATAGCATGTCTTCCCATTAAGTCTATGGATACTTATTTTATATATACATATTCTGAACATAAATGAATTACAAATATTTTAAAAACAAAAGCATTTTACTTTGTTTAATCGGTATTGAAAGCCGTCTGATTGATTTTGGTCTTTATAAAAATATTGGTGTAATAGTTAAATACGCTCTAATAACCACCTCAGCAGAAAAAAACGACTGGAGTATTTTCAAGGCTCCAATAAGAATTGTCATTGCCGAAAAGAGTGCCACTCAATGATTCGCCCTGCCCTTAAGACAACATTTTGTTTCAATCTGATTATGAACTCCTGCTAACTACACTTTGTTCCCAAACCATTCACTTTTACTTTCACTTTCTCGAAAACCAGTGAGTCTATATCACCTCAATGAACCGAAAGAGTTGTTTTAAATCTGTTTTGCTTGATTTAGTACCACAACACCTGCGAACGGAAAGGCGTTTCAGTTTTAATACATTTCACGGCCGCAAGTTTATAAAACCCTAACGATTTCATTTCGTTTGCTTTCCCTCACCCCGCTTTAATTTCTACACAAAATAATTGCAGTGTTTTCACTCATAATTTTTAATGTCTGAAGACATGCAAGCAATATGCACCTTCAGCCCTTGATTACTATTTTCACCGATTAATGCAGTTGAGGTGGCAACTATTTTTAGGACGGCAAAAAAGTGTTCAATTTTAAAATAATCGTTTTTGTTTATTTTAAAAGAATTAAAAACTTCAGCGGAAAATATTTACCACAATTTTAAAAATAGTTTTGTAGAAGAAAAAATAGCAAAACCATAATGTAGTATATAATACTACTTGTTAAGACCGGTCTTCTCCAAAATTGTCTCTGATATTTGGCATGCTTTCCTTATGCAATTTAAATAGAGTTTAGTATGTATATGAGGACATCCGTAATGTAGAGTCAGATATATTGGAAGTCATTGAACACGACGACACAAAGTCTGCGTTTCAAGTACAAATCGATATAATTAAATACTGGGTTATATACAACCATGATATGGTGTGACAGATAACACATGAAGATGAGTTCTAAATACATTTCTAGTTTATTTTTTATTTTCATATATATTTTCATATTTTCGTTTTAATATATTTCAAAGTTTGTGTTAAGAATTATCACTAACGGTTTTGACATTTTTGTGAATAATTAAGTCCTCAATAGAACTAAATTTTTAGTAAAGACGCTGGTTTACAAGCCTCCCATTTATATGGTATTCAAATAAGGTTTGATTTGTAGAAAGTATCTCAAAAGATATCTCATTGATTCTTATAAAAGACTTTGTCTGTTGTTAGAAAACACTTTTGACTTTAGTTAAAGTTCACCAAGTATGTCCCCTTGGGTATAGAACTCGGTGGGGGTTAGCTTTTTTCTCCTCTTTAAATAACAAAGGTTGTTCTGTTTGTTGAAAAATAAATTTTGTTGATCAGAATTTTACACAAAATAATTTAGTTTTATAATAAATTAATGATCAGTTTTGATTTTGTCAACCAAACTTGACTGCTCAAAGAAAATAAATAAAAAGGTGAATTTTACTGCTCATTTTTAACCATCTCGCGGACCACCGGTTGGGAACCACTGTTCTAGATATGGATTTCCATTACTTTTTGCCTTTAACTACTACTAACTAATTGCATAGTTTTTCGAATTAATAAATATGAGGAAATCATAATCACATCATAAGTCGCTTCTGGGCAGTTTTCTAATTAGTGGTAGAATGATATAGTCATTTTAATTTGACAACTCCAACGTTGGATAGTTCTGTTCCATATATTAAACAGAACAGTATACATCTCCGTTAACTATTTTTATAGTGTAATTGATACTCATTGATAAAGTGGTAATACGTATTTTTAATGTATTTGAAGTCAACGATATGTTTTTAAGGCATTTATAAAGTGGAGCGATTAAAATAGAAAACACCATTTGGTTTTATTTTTATTTATTGTTTCACGCAAAACACGATCTATTCCGATTAGAAAGTGTATAAATTTGTAGTTGGAATAAATTAAACTTATTTAATTACTTTAAGACAAAATATGAGAATTTGTCTAATTTTTAAATTATTTTGGTAACAGTAATTTAACAAGTTATCTTCTGTTTGTTGATCATACCGTTGGAGATCATACACACATATTCGATAATATAGATCATATAATTAGTGGTATCTATGGTCATGCATTTGATAATATATTTTCAGCAAAAAATTTTATAATATTGAAATCTGAAGATTCCATATTACTAAATGACGATATATTTGACGTATCTCAGGGGGAGAAAACCTGAATATTGTTTTACTGAGGTCTTTCTAATAGCAATTCAAATAATGTTTACAAATATTGCATTATATTATTAAATTCGTTGAATGTGGAATGATGAAAAGAGAGTTATGTACAATATAAATTCCAAAGAATCTATCCAAAATTTATCTAAAGTTGCAAATCTTAAACTAACCAAAATAAAGCACGTAGAAATGATGTAGCGTTGATATATATTATGTATTAACAGAAAACATTGCCACTTAGAAAATGTAAACTACATAGAGTTGATTTTAATTAAACAATATGAGAATTATAAATATTATGTTAATACATAATATATTTTGGTTCTTTTTAGGAATCATTTAGTTTAATTCTAATAAATATAGTTATATAAAAAATGAGTATGGTAATGAATATGGTGAACCACTTAATTTAGCAAAACAATCGTTAACCAGGCAATTCATTAAAAAAAAATCGTTGAAATTTTGCAATGAGTTTTTGTTTTTCCAGATTTTTGTGTATTTTATAAATAAATATATAAATAGATAATTCTTTATATTAAGTATTAATTTCACTTTACATTTTTCAGTACATTTATTTAAAAAAAAATATATATAATTTTTTTTAGAATATCTATGTTTATAGTTCATTTATGACTGCCAAAGGCTTTGGTATATAGAGGCGCCAATTTCTGGTTCAATAACTGTAGCTGGTATTATACTACAATTAGGGGGATATGGACTTTTACGGGTATTTTCTTTTATTTAATTTTTTTGTTTGAAATTTGATTATATTTTTAATAGAATTTCATTAATTGCAGGAATTTTAGTTAGATTAAATTGTCTACGTCAAGTTGATTTAAATACATTAATTGCTTATTCTTCTATTGCTCATTTAGGAATTGTTTTAGCTGGTATTATAAATTTGAGGTATGTAGACGCATATATGTAGGCGTTGGATAGGCCACAATCTTCGCAGACCCAATAAAAACATTGCACGCCAAGCTCTGAGATGGAATCCTCAAGGCAGCCGTCCTCCTAGAAGAAGCACAATTGAAGAAGAGCTAAGAAAAGCCAATTATTCGTAGAATGACATCTGCCGAGAATCAAGTGACAGCATCTGGTACAAAAGGTTGGTGGAGGCCCAATTCTACACTGGGAGATTTCGTTCCCAACATTAAGTGAATTACGATTAATAATAAGAATTTTATCAATATGATTTTAAAAATTCCCATTTTTTCATTAATTTTTATTTTTCATTATATAAATAAATATACAATTATTTATAATATATATTATTGAAAGGATATTCGTTAAATAGGAGGTTTAAGAATTTATATACCTTTTGCTTGTGGATGATTTAATATTGCAAATTTGGCTTTATTTGGTATACGTTTTTTAATTTGATTTTATTCTAAAGATATAATTTTAGAAATCGTGTCTTTAAGTTATATCAATATATTTTTTTTTTTTTTGTTATACGGGATTAACTTTTAGATATTCAATTCGTTAATTCATTTACTATTGGTTAATTGAAAACTTTAATTTTTTTAGTTTAAATATATTAACATAAGAGTTAACAGTTGAGTTATATTATAAGGAGTGCAATATAGACAATAAAATAAAGAGGATGACTTAGATAGAGTTTTATTAATATTAATTTATGTTAGATCGTGTTCCTGATGATGACTCTCAAGTAGAGTCTAAATATAGAATATATTAAAAAATATTAAACAAACGTTGAATTATTTAATAAAAGGTGTCCTATATAGCCGGATAAAAACATATATAAAAACCATTATTAAAAGGAATTTTAGAGTTATTATTTATAAGAATTATTGGAGAGGGAATAAAAACTGATTATTATTTATAACACCTGCAATAATTTGTCTGCCTATAATATTAAAAATGTTGTCTTTATTTGTATGTGAATTGGGGGAATTTTTAGGATATTACATTTCAAAAATTTCTTTATATTTTTGCAAAAAATCTTCATAAAATTATTTTATTTCAATTTTTTGTGGTTCTATATGGTTTATGCCTAATATTATGACTTATGGGTTAATTTATAATTTTTTATTTTTAGGTGAAAATTGATATAAAATATTTCATCTCTGAGTTTTTTGGAGGCCTTTATTTGCATAAAAATTTATCAAATTATTCAAAATATAATCAATTTATTCTTTTTTTTTGTATTAACATTTTTTATTATTTGATATTTAAATAGCCTATAATTACAGTATTATATTGAAGTTGTAAAGTGATAAATTTATCTTTAAATATTTGATATATTAGTGAATTAAATTCAGTAATTTATAAATAAAATATATTTATTTTTACAATGACAGTATAATGTTTTTATTAAACTAATAAATAAATTGAAATATAAATAGAATTTAACCAATAAAAAAAGGATATCAGATTTTTTTTGTTTATTATATTTCTTTGATTTGAATTTTATTCAATTTTATTATTAACAATAATAGACCTCTATTTTAGTTTTAATTAATAATGGAAAATAAGGGTAAAGTTACCAAATTTTAGGTTGAAACTGAATGTGTTTTATCACTTCATATTCTGGTAAGTTAGATTTCAAAAGTAATATTTTTTTAATTGCAAATCAAATATTAAACTTAACTATAATCTTTAAATTTGTTGATTAGATCAGTTAAGTCCGTCTTAATTATTAATAAGAAATTAATAAGATTACTACTTTAAATTAAAAAACAATTAAACCATGTGGGTTGTTTCGAGGAAGTCGTCAGTGCTGGCCTGTGGTATTTTGAAGCCTACTAGCTCTATTATTAATATGCCTCGGAAGCTGCATAAAATGAGCTTCCGATTATTGTTTAATTTCCTCAGCAACTGTTGAGGTGTTAAGGTCTCGTTAATTATATGAATGATTAATTATATACATATATATACATGTACCATGAGACGTGAACAATACTTTGAAGAACTTTATTTTGCAGTCTATATGTTTCTATATTTCTATGTTTCACAATAAGTGCTAATAAATATTATTGTATAATAAAAAACAAAAGTTTTTTTTAGAAGTTATCTTCTAAAACACTGTGTTTATTTATTGTTCATTTTCAGATTTAAAGAATGAGATTTAACATAATAAATCAGGATTATTTGCGCACCTACATCAGGTTCAGGATTTCATTAACTATGTTTTCTACGTATACCTTTTTTTGTGGAGGCACGCTTTATGAGATATTAACTTATATAGGACTTTATAGAGAACCAATATACATAGATTATTTAATTTGAATCAGCAGTTATTAATTAATATAATTAATTAATAAACAATAAAGCAAAGTAAATAAAAATACACCTTTTATCTTCTTAATAATTATTTCATTTATACTTGTATTAAACTTAATATTCAAGTATTATTTAAAATTTAATTTAGATGCTTCATTGATAAACTCTTATACTTTCTTAACAATTTCAACTGATCTTATCAACTGCTTTCGAAGCTTTAATCACTGATTTGAAAAAGATAGACAATTTAAGTCTTAATTATGGCCATAAAAGAAAACTCGATAAACGAGTTGGAGACCATACTTCGATTGGCGCATTAAAATACCATATATATGGAATATTGAGTAAATATATTGAGTACACAGAGTGCATATCGTGTGTACTGTGAGAAAGATCTTTAATATTCGAAAATATTTTTATTAAAAGTAATATGAATATTGATTACAATCGTACTTAATAACGTGGCTTTTTGAATGTACTTGAATATACTTTAATATATTTTTAACACGTATGACTAGGAGCACTAAATTCATACAATATCTAAAATCCGTTAAGGTCTTATAATCTATATACATATATTAAACTGATTTCTAATGTCGTAACAATAATTTCTTAACCAAAATATTTACACATCGAATGAAATAGAGAAGTAGCAATAATTCATCCATTTTCTCCAGTTCAAATAAAACGTCTTGACTGCATATTTTAAAATGTACTTCGGGTATCTATAATTTCAAGATGTTGTGATATTATGACAAAACATGTTATAAGTTAGACATTTGTTTTAAAGTAGTTTACATTTTTGTCTATCTAAGTTGCATTTATCTTTATCTATGTCAATGTTTAAAGTGTATGGATCTAATTTGTTAGAGATTTTTAATCATTGGATCAAGAAATCGTCTTAACGAAACACATACACATGCTGTTTTGAAATAGTACTCCTTATATATGTAGTATACCATATAGTAATCTAATCTAAATATTAATTTAAACATTTAGGAACTATTGATTATAGATTCAAATTTTTATTTATTATACTTTAATATAAATATTTATTATAAAAAAATTTGTTTAAATTTTTATATAAATATGTTAGTTTTATTTTTTGTTTTACTAATTAATTTTAATTATAATTTTTATATTGAACATTATTCTTATTTACAGGATTACAAAAATATATATAATGTGTATTTAATAGATATACAATAATTATTAATAATACATTAAAAACAATTTGAAATTACTTCATAAAAATTAAATCTAAATATTATAAAACTTTCTTAAAAATTATTACAGTATATAAATAATTACAGTTTTTAATAAAGTAATAAAAATTATTAATGTATACGCATAAAATATTAATTTTTATGATTATAAAATTTTTAAAAACATATTTTTAGATACATTATAATATCTTATATATAATACAGCTTTTAATTATTAAAGGACCCGATATCCGTTATAGTAATGATTGTGTTGACATATCTTCTGCTCAATAATAGCACAACGATTTTTCCAGAACGGTTATGTTTGCAAATTCTATAAGGAAGAAAACTTATTATTTGTTATTGAATAAATAGAATATATTATATTTTTTAAAGTTTATTAAATAAATATTTAGAAAGTTTTAGAAAAAGACATAGTATTCCAAAAAATGTTAAGTAATTTTTCTAATAAAAATTCTAGTAAGTGCCATGAGAAAGCTATGAATAAATTATGCCAGAATCATGTCGTGTTTATATTGGCCTCCTGGTCT